CAAAGTATGAATTGTTCCTTAGCCTGAACACATCCAGTTAAAAATGTCAATAAAATCCGTTCATTTATTGATCCTGCTAATAAACCCATAACCTTCCCTTTTGGTGCGTTTTTGTCTTAAGTAAAATACCTCTGGACCTTTAGTCACTGCTGCCCCCCTCTGGTTTAGGGTCTCTCAATCTTAAAACAACATTCCTGTATCCAGATTATGATCTGGATCATCACCAAAGTTTAATGGGCCGTACTTTGGCATGAGAGACACCTCTGATAAAAATTCCATTAAAATCTCTTCATAATATTTTGAAAACAGACAAGAAAACGCAGAAAATAACATAACCTCTGCTTTGTTTGAAAAGAGATTTCAAACTTAAACCTTTCTTATTCTTTATAGCAAATAGCTGCCACTATGTTACACATAAAGAAAAGCAGAAAGCACCATTCACAGAATATAAAACTTGGTATTTTGCTTCTGCTCAGGTTTTTTTTAATATTCATATTCTCTTTAACAGTGCCTTATCTAGCCTCAACCTCCCCAACACAATGAAACATTTAACAGCCAGAGTTAATTAAGCAGATTCATTTCTATTTTTATTATGTGATAAATTTCAGAGGGTGATCTTTAATAATGGTTTAAGGAAATATTAACCACAGCTCCTGGTAACAATATTTAACCAAAACATTAGGATTAAATTTGAAGTGAAGATGGTGGTTCCATAAACTATTATCTTACCTTATTGTCAATGGTAATCATATATGCAAACTTTCTAGCAAGCTGAGCTTCTTAATGTCTGTTGCCAATAAATAAACTGATTTTTTTAAATTCAAATGGTAATATGCAAGATGTTTTTCAGCAGTTTTATCGCCAAGAAAAAGTCTGGTGTTGTTTATCATTACATTAAAATTAATGTTTACGAAGGGAACCTTCAGAACCTTTAAACTGTGCTGTTCTTTTTTTTTTACATGGCAAAAAAGATGTGAGTGCAGGCCACCCCAATGGTACTTAATGCTTTTCAGGGAAAAATATTGAAGATTTTATGAAGGAAAGACGTGCATCAGCTCTCCTTATTATATGGCTGTAACATCTTTAGCTTTGCTTTAAATTTAATCATGTAAACTAAAGGAACATGCACTAACCATCAAAACCTGAAAAGAGAAAAAAAAAAGACCTTATATTTCAAAGAGATTGTTGTATGGATAATTATAAACTGTTTTTGAGCAGAGAAAAAGTTGGAATACAATCAATTAAAGGTATTTGACAGATGCTAAAAATGTGAGGAAGCCTCAATATCTGAAATGTTAGTTTATTGACTGAAATATGACAAAAAGAACAAGAACTTGTTCACAGTGAGGCTGTAAAGTCTATATATTTAGTTGGCAGAGTTTGGATCGATTCATTTTGAATAGTCCTTTTAACCTGGTTGAACTGAAACTAGAAGTAGATGAACTGGCTCCAAAGCTGCTCCCATATAATAAAGGGATCCCTCCGCATTAATAAAGTCTCTAATAAATAAACCTTTGAGGCTTTGGATCTATCTGAACTTGCAGGTTTTTACATTTACTCTAAGGAAACTTTTGATTAGTTATAAACAAATCTAAATGTATATATTTTATTGAATAAGTCAGTTTAAATGTTGCTGATTAAAACAACTATTGGTGTTAAATTTACAGGTTTCTCCTCAGAAATGTTGAAATATGATTGAAAAGAACTTTTTAACCAAATTTGGTTATTTTTCCATTGCAATTTAGAGCAAAAAGGACAAGACTGGAACTGGGGAACATGTAAAGCATGTGACAGGATAAATTTGGTGTTGGTCTGAATTCTTTTCAAGCTGCAAATGAGAGAGAGTTGTGTGCACACAAGTTGGAGGCTGAAGCCCGAGAATGTGTCTTTCCAAAGCTCCTTACCTGAGGGTACAAGGGAAACAAGTCAAAACCAGCAAAGCATGAACGCTTTGCAGAAACTGTAACCAGAACCACAACTGAAACGTTTCACAACGTCTTTACAAGACATGCAGGGAAATCTGAGCAACATATGATGAAACACATCTGATACAGTCCAGCCTGCAGCTACTCAGAGTCCTGTGCACACAGAGTTCTTTCCTTGCGTCTGAATTCCTCCGGCCCCTCTGGGTCACTGTCCCACCGTTACCATGGAGACCCAAAAGTGGGTTAACACAGGGCAAACATCACTGTGAGCCATCAGCCAGATTATTGATGTTTAGCGTGCAGAGTTGTGGCCCTCTCGTGCACAGAGGAGTGAGTTTGATTTCCTCACATGGTTTCTCAGTGCCTTAAATGTCTGCCAGCATGACCGCACACCTGTACACGCATGCACCCACCGGGACCCTGCTCCACATTTTCACACCTACATAAGTTGCCTTAATAATAACCTTTAGCAAACAGTTGCTAGGTAACTCAAAAGGGTACAATGTGCGTGCTGCTTTTTTTTTTTCTTTTGAAAGATATCCAGCAGCAGGAACAAAATCTCCAAGCCAGAACACCAACATGTTTCTTGCATATGCACAAAAAAAAGAGAACCGCAGGCCGCTAAGGCCTTGAGGGCAAGAGCATCATCAGGTAATGCACATTGCATCACCTCCATTTGCACTAGTTCAAGCACCAGGAGGTCTAAAGCTGAGGGGGGATGATAGTTGCATTTTTATTTAACTGTAAATTTTTCAATATAAGTTATCTCCGCTTTATCTTAATCCACTTAATGAAACTGAAGGCATTTAACTTAAATATTAATCTTAAAAACTTACTGTGTATGAACTTGCCAGAGATTATGTCTCTTCCAGCTTTCAGTCTAATCTGTCAACTTTTTTTCTCATCAACTCAAAAAACACAGTGAAGGAAAGTGGCTTGATTGTAAATTTTCTATATGAGAAAAACTTTGTAAAAAACTCACATAGGATGGAACATGTTTGTGAAAAGCAATCATCTAGTCATCCTACAGGTATTGAACCGAATCAAGGGGTTGAACTTTGACCTGCTGGCTATTCTAACACAGGCTGGTTCTTTGATCCAAACCACTCCATTGCATCCATGGCTGTCCTTCTGAACCTTGAACCTTCAGCTTCAGTTTTGCAGCTGCTTACTGGTTTTCACCTAATATAGGCCTGTGTTTCATCCATCCATCTTCATATTCACTTTACCCCACCTCTCTCTACTTGTTGAAGAAAATCAGCACCCAATAAGAGGCTTCCACCACCGTGTTTCACTCTGAAAACAGTGTGCAGTGGTGGGTTTCTGCTCACTTCTTACCTAGTGAAAGAAAAACTGTAAACCAAACTTCTAACTTTCTTCTTAAAAATTGGCAACTCTTCCATAGCAAGCGTGTTAGGTTTTTAGCTGTTCTATTCTCTGCTTTCAGGTAACAAATTGAAAAGGTGTCGCATCTTTAAAAAAAACTATTTTATAACCTAACCCCACTTTAACTCGGCATGAAATTCATCCACAGCTGTGGCAACTGCTGCTCTCTGAAACAGGGGAGGCTCAATGGCGTCAAACAAATCCAAATATCATGTACTGCATTAGCAAATGTTTATATACATTACTACAACGGCAAAAAACAGCTGTTGTGAAGTGCTCTAAAATAATTTAACTTCAGAAATCAAGGCAAAGGTTCAGCACAAGGTGACTTTTTATTAATTATGGCTTTTTCCTTCTTTCGTCTGAGTTTCATGAGGAAAACGTCATCTTCATCTGGTCACGGTCAGCATCAAGTAGCCAGCTTCACTCCATAGACCCCCTAAGAGGCTTAGCCTCATTGGAAGTGACATATTTTGGCGTGTTATCCAATCAGGGCCTCCTTTCTTGCTGCTTGCCTAAATATACAGATGCTGGAGCCTCAGATGGGATTTCTCATATAGACCTTCTAGCACTTATTTTTTGCAGTTAAATGACTGCATTTATAACATTTAAAAATACAAATTTGACCAATTACTTTACAAAATTTACAGGGGAGGCTTAGCCTACCTAGTATTCCATAACAAATCACCACTGATCCACAAGTAGTTTAAGCAAAGGTAAGTTTACAAAATCGTTTTCTAACAAGTCCTTCCTGAAACTACTTCTACTTACAGGTTTGTTCTCAACTGTCTGAAGCACATTTACAAACAATCATGAGTTCGTCAAACTGCTCCAACACAACAACATATGGTGGTTCTCTCTAATCTCTCTGTCTTCTCCTATTCCTTTCAAACCCGTTTGAAGCTTCTTTCTCCACCTCCCCCCTGTGTTTCCTCTCCGTCTGTGATTTCCAGTCATTCAGCTCTGCCCCCAACCCTCCCATGCTTCCCTCCTAGTGACCCATACAGGCCTTCTTCCTGCACACGCCCTCCTTTTAGACCACAGAGTGGACCTCCGCCTTGGGAATCACCTGATCGCCATCTTTGCTCTGAACATACAGGAAGAGCTTTGTTCAGAAGATCGGGCTCCATAATCTGATGAACATACAAACAGCAGGCCCATATCCTGAGGACTGAGCAATCACAAACTCAATACATGTGACTACTCCAGAAATAAAGGATTCATACTGAGTTTTAAAGTGGCAAGACGGGATTTAGGTCGTGTTGCAGAACAGGTGAGAAGAAACAATCAGGGAGCGGGAGAATGGCACAGATAAGTTTAAAAGAAGTCTTTAAAAAGAACAAATAGGAGAAGTGTCCATGATAAGAGTCCAGATCTGTACACATTGATCCAAGTACATCCAAACTTTGCAGAAATGTTTGATGTTTTATTTTGTTTTCCCCAACAACTGAAGGGACTGGCTGAAAAATATCTGCACATCAAATACATATAGGCGACATATATTGATGAGACAGAAGGGCAAATGATAATGAGGTGGTAGTGTTGTAGACCAACATGAGGAGAACATAACGTATATATATATATAGAATGAGCTAAGATCCTATGGGACTTCAAGATCCAGACTGACAAACAGCTGATGGCTGTGTTTCTACCTAGTTAGTACATCATTATTGGGGATTTCCCAAATGTCCTTTTAGATAGAGGTCTAATCATCCTAACATACATTTCACTTTGATTCAAACCGTTGCATTTTAGCTCTGCTTGTTTGTTTAGTCTTGTCCTGCAGAAAGTCTCTAATCCTTCACCATTTGAAAAAGTTTATTGGTTCCCATTAAGTACTGAAGAAAAGTATCACAACAGTGCGATGCTGCAACCACAATGCTGCCATCAGATTACACAATGTGGCACTATAACTGCAACAACTTGTGCAATAACTAAATGTGTAATCACCTGTGCAGTAACCTGATTTATATTTTATATCCAAATACACTGTGCAATACACCTATGCACCTTTTCCTCCTTTAGGCACCTTCTTCTTTTTGACTATTGAGCTGAAGTAACAAGTACATTTCTCCACTGTGAGAACAATAAAGTCAATCAACCAATGTTCCACAGTGGGGTTAATGTGTTCAGGGCAAAGTGTATTTTGTTTCCTACATAATGTTCTGATTGTTGGCCAAATGTTTCATTTTGGGTCTCCTCTGACAAGAGAAGCTTATACTGGATTTCTGATGCTTTTCTTTCACCAGTTGCTTTCCTATTGCAGCTGTTCCATAAAAGCTAGACTTGTGGAATCCAGAAGAAAAGGAAAGGTTCTCCCAACTGAATTGTGAATCTTTCTCTGTAGCCTTTTTATGAAGTTATGATGAATCTCTCAGCTTCTTCTCTGATAAATGCTTTCTCTGCCGAGCCTGCTATCTTAAATGATGAAAAATCTGCATTTTAATGCTGCAAAGTTCTTCAAGAGATGTTCAGTCAGGATATAGTTTTATAACCACATCTGCCTTTAAACTTCTTCACCTTTGTATCTCTGACCTGTTTGTTTTGTTTTTTTTGTCGTCATGCTTCCTTTTTATCACAAATCTCCAAAACATTGTGTCCTTCAAACAAAGCCATCTTTATACAGAAAGTAAGTTAAAGAAGATTAACTCTATTTACAAAACAGGTGATTTTTGAGTGCAGCTGACTGTGTGGATTTTGGGTGTAAGGGCAAAGTAATAATTATAAAGGCAATCCACACCTTTCAGATTCTTATCTTGAAAACAAAGCAGTTAAAGAAAGGAGATAAAAATACCCAAACAAAATAAGCAGGAAATGAAAAAGTAAAAAGAAAGAAGGCAGAATTCAGGGAGGTAAGGGGATGTGACATTTAAATAATTGTGATTAAAAGAGAAGAAAAGAAACTTTAAAGGAAAAGGAACCGGTGAAGTACATCTGAAAAGCCTGCGTGGGAGCTCTCAGAAGTGGAAGCGCTACTTGTCCATCAGTAGTATCATAAAAACACCTACTCACCCATTGTTTGAATATGCAGGATTTTTTCATAGATTGCATCTGCAAACTCCATCACAGCTTTGCTTGAATTGACCATCTGCAGGTCAGAAAACAGGAGAAACAGACTATTAAGCACAACGAGCAAACTAACAACAGGGGCATATAGTGCACTATTATTTGACTAATAAATCCTGCTGTCAGGCACATATGCAAAACATTTCTTGTGCACAGAATAACACAGCTGACAGGTAGAAGTAGAGGGAAATTATTCAAAAGGCAAGAACAGATTAGTTTCTACGGATGGCATGGAAAAAATATCCACAATGAATTAGTGCTCCATATTAAAAAATGGTGACCTAAAGTTTAGACTACAGACCTGTCTAGATTAGCGCACCTACAGAGCTGCAAAGGGATGCATGCAGAGACTGAGTAATGCGACACTTCCTCTTAAACTCCCCTCTGGGACATGACCAACTGTGGGGAAAAATCTGTTTTCTACTAATAAGGGATTAACTACAGCGTGCCACCAAAACCAGATCAAATTCTTCCAGCAGTGTATAATCGGATTCCCATTTCCTGACTCTTCCTTCTGTGTGGCTGGATCCAGGCGAAGAATCAATTTAGCCAAATCACATTCAAATCTATGCTAATGGAATTCAGCGGCGGGGAGAGCCTTTTCAGCTATGATCCGCTCGGCTGGAGCGGAAGCGGCTAGAGACCATGGCTTACCCGCTTCTATGTTCATACGAAGACCCACGAAGCACAGGTGTGCAGACCTGGAAGCTAGATGCACAGCTGTGAGGGATTTATTGCCACAAACTGAACCCCAAACTGTTTCACAAACTACATGAAAAAAAAAAACATTTACTGGCACTACTGAAAAAAAGCCTTTTAAATAAACAGGTATGTTATTATAGTAACGTCATCTAAAAATCCAACATTTGATTAAGATTTTCAGAAAAAAATACATTTTAATATGAATCAATCCAAATCACTGGAACCCCAAATTAGTGTCCAAATAAATTTACCTGCACCGCATTTGATTGGTAATCCTTTACTGTTTTACTGGGCATATCTTAGACTCTGCTATGCTGTGCTGCCAACTAAGCATGGCACTCAGATATCCAGGATCCAAGCTCTAAAACAAACTTTACACCCTTTAAATTTCCATGGTTTCCCATTGAAGTTAGTTCCTACCATAGGTGAGGCTAATATTTCCTCTGAAAGCCTTAAATTTTAACTCCTTGGAGGAAACTTTGGAGCAGAGCAGAGTTGCAGCCCTTCACAGAGGGAAGACAATGGCTGTTCCTTATTTTATTAGTTCAGCCTGATGTGATTCAGATATTTGTCTTGCTCGATTATTATTTTGCTCTAACAAATAAAATAATATTTAAGGAATTATTGCATGAAAATTTAAACATTTTGTGTGCTATGCTTTCCATTTATTTATGCCGTTTTGAATTAATTTGTTTTTGATTCCGTACTTTCATTTACGTGTTTGTGTCACGCAGTATAGGCGTGCAAAGGTACACGACTGTAGGTGGGGCTTTAAGCCACAGCGGCAGCCATCAGTGGATCCATGGGAATGCACCAAATTCAGTGCAGAGTAAGGAGAAACCTAGCAGAGTAGAGCTGTTTGAAGCTTCACTTTTCGAATTTAAAAAAACACTATTAGAAATACCAGAGATATAAATAGAAATGTAGTGCTTTCTACCAAAAAACTAAAAAAAAAAGAGTCATTACTTTGTCTTTCGCCTATCTATTTTTCTAGAACACCTATGAGCAGAGCTAAAGGGTAGGGAGAAGAAGATGGGACTACAGATTGCCTTTAGACATTTTCTCAAGAGCCTCCTCTCTCTCCATGTTCCAACTTTTTCAAATGGGGTTTCAATAGTTTTGACAATAGTGGTTTTGTTCCAAATTGTGAATTCATAGCAGGAATTTTCTTTCCCAAACATCTTCCCTGCATACATAGAAGTTTCAGGTCTAGATTTTCCTAGATGATGTTAGGCTTAAAATCCTTTTTTACCCATCCTAAGGGTTTTTTATGAAGGGCTATGTATTTTTTTAAACAAAGAAAAAAAATGGCTCAGCGCTCCTTAGAACTGCATTAGACTACTTATTACTGATCAGCTTGTCCAACGGGAGCTAAAAGAAAGAAGGGAGGAGAGCTGACATTTAAAGTAAAACGTGGAAGGTTAAACAAAAGCAACAAAACACTTGAGAAGCTTTAAGCCTGTTTAAATACTAAGATTTATACCCTCCTATAGACTTTATCCTATGCAGTTGTTAAAACTACATAGGATAAAGTTAATAACAGACCAACATGGTGCATTTGTTCTCTTGGTTCCTTTCACTCTTTGTTTTTCCATCCACACTTTAACTTCTCTTCTCCTGATGCCTGGGGTATATATTTAGACACTATTGCATAAATCAAATCTAGTGAATGACTTTCCCCCCTTTGGGGAGTGGAAGTTTCTGGTTTATTTGGGTGGAAACACACAAGGGTCTCTGAGGCAAAATGAGGATGTTACCACAGAGTTTGAGACAAACGGAGGCGTTTACAATAACAATGAACGCTCACTGTGTGTTTCTGAACGACCTCCTTTTATACAGAGCGTTTGCTTGATGGTTAAGAGAGTCAGAAGGGATATGACTCATTTGCTAATTAGTATTCATCTTTCCGTTGGTTTATAAGGAGTATTTCACATTTTCCGGTTGATTCCTTTCTCACCGTTTCATAGGTAGAGACAACTCGGCGAAGGACATCTGGCAGGGGTCCCTGGGGCTCTAGGGTGGGGTAGTTGTCTCTTAGGTCGAACAGCAGTAAAGGGTTCCCCTCTGGGCCCGACACTCTGGAGCTCAGGGCCAGCACACACTGCATGAGGTTGGCCACAGCTGACACCCCACACAGCTCCCTGAATACTGCAACAGAGTTCTGTTGAGAAGAAGAAACATGCAGTCAAACATCTGGTTTAAAGCCAGTCCTCTTTTCCGCTCCAACTGGGATAATTGTGAGATCTCTTATCCTCCCCGAAACAAATGTACTTCCTCTGCTGTATGTAGGGAGTGCTGTATGTTTACTCCCGTTAACTCTCAGTCATTTTCCACACTTTTTATGCTCCATGCTCAATAACAATAAACCTAAACATAGCCAAAACTCAATTCACACCTTAGTCCGACAACTTACCATTCACAAAACCCAAAGTGACCCAAAAAATGACCTCACTTTGACACAAACGGTCCTCAATTTCATGGTGAAATCCTAAAAATGGTTCTCAATCTGATGCCAAAACAGAAGCGCACACACAGCTTATCATACCAAGTCCTACCACAGAGCAGTTCGTCTTTCCTTTCAGATATTAATGCCTTTGCTAATCCTCCCCTGTAAACTTTATTAAATTACTGGCAAAATATGCATTGTCAGACTTTATTAATGTAGTAAATAAACTGCAATGAATATGCAATAAAATGCACCTGATTTCATGAATGTTGCGCCTTAATTAGCTGTTTATTTCTGATGCAATCTCCCCCTGCAGGAGCAGGACGCTGTCTTTCAGCCTCTATGAGAAATCCCTGTTGAGGTTTGAGCCTCGGTCTATTGAAGTAAGCAGCGAGAAAGTAGAGCCCTGATTGGATAACACCCGAAAATATGTCACCCCCAGTGAGACTCAGCATCTTCGGGATCTATGGAGCACAGGCGGGTTGTGAAGCTGGCTGCTTGAAGCTGATTGGCCAACATATTTAAGGATTAATGACCATTAGTGGCCAGACATCGAGGAGGCTTGCCTCATGAGTCAAGGAGGGAAAGTGATCATTCAGTTAGAACAGTAATCTGCTGAAATGTTGCTGTGGTTTCTGGAGTTTATTATTTCAGAGCGCTTCACAACAGTTATTTGCATCCATTAGTGATGAATTTTATAGGTTTCAACATTTGTTAAAGAGATACGTGACAATTAGATTTAATTAATAGCATAGAGCCTCTCCTGTTTGAGAGAGCAGCTGCCTCCACTGCGTTAATGACAGTTTAATTGCGTAATTAATACCAGGGCAAGGGTAATAAATAAGCTACATATCTTAAACTTCTTGCTCAAGAATCATAGCTTTCATTTAGAGCTTATTCTGCCTTAGTGGGGCAATCTGTCTTCTAGATTTGACTCAACTCTTTTTTTGTTGTTTGTTTGTTTCAGGAAAAGCAACAGCCTGATTTTTGAACCGTCAACCTTTACATTTGCTCCAACTTGCTAACATCCTCTGTGCCAAACCATGGCAGTTCCAGTTCCTGATTACTGGTAACTTAAAGATAGGTCAGTTGTAATTTAAATTAATTAAAAAATAAGGTTCTATTGTAATTATACAGAACATAAAATATTATTTTGGCAGTATCTCTTTAGTGGCAATTGTATAGTTTAAATTAAACATTAAAAGAACATTCATCCTTGAATGTAAAAGCCAACTCTAAAAGTTAGTTTTACCTCATTTCATAACAAAAACACAAAACTTAACCTTTTCAACTTCTAAAATAAAAGGAGAAAAAGTAAAAATGAAAGTACTAGCAACTCACTCAATATAGTTAAAGATTACAACTAGCTTGGTTTTTCTGAAGTGTCTTAAGTTATTGTCCCTATATTTAACACCATCTTTTTTAGGTCTAAAAAAACTGAATATAATTTTACGGCTCAAAAAAAGGAAGTTGCTCTGATTGACCTCATTTAATTTAAGTTTCATCTATGCTGAGATTGGACTCAGATGACTCATATTTAAGCTCCCACTTACTGTTTATTTCTAAATCCATTTATAAGTAGGATACCTAGTTATACTTAAGTCTTAAAATATTATTGCTTTGCTCTGTTTGAGTTGAACTGAGGATTAGAGAACACAGCTATACTTTGGCAGGTGTTTGTGGGAGCTGTATTGCTTTTCTGTTCATATTTTGCTTTGAAGCTTGCACCGGAGAAGCTTGCTCCAAGGATGGATTCCTCAGGAAGTTCTTGTGGAAGAGGAGAGAAGAGGAGCCATTCACATTATTCTACCTGCTATATGCACTATGTTAAATGTCTGAGTCTTTGTTTTAGCAATCAAATAACCGAACTAGGGCTTCAACTAACGATTATTTTAAAAATCGATGAATCGGCCGATTATTTTTTCGATTACTCGATGAATCGGACAAAAAATATTTTTTATATTAACTTCTTTATTCCAAAATAAACATTTTAGACAGAACAAACAAGCACACAAGTACAGGTTGCTCATTAACTGTACTGGTGCAATATGAAAAATAAACGTTTGTGTTAAAACTACGCAAACTTACATGAGAAATGTAGCTGTACATCCACAAAATATAGGGTACTTTGTTTCATAAAGCACAAAAAAAGACAGGCATTTTTGTTTGTAAAACCCCCTAAGGGGTTCAAACAATAGGTCCCCCCATTTCAACAAATGAGTTTTTGTTTTTTCTAGAAGAGTTCTGCCTTTTAAGACAGGAAAGTATAGCAGTTAACGTTGCTACTTGAGAAAATACTTAACCATAGAGATAAAAATAGCCCTGTGATTCAAATTATAAATTGTATTTGGAATAAAAATGAGAGAACTAGGGGTGCTAAAAACACATCCTCCGAAGACAGATATTTACATGGGAATGTAGCATATAATTAATTGACATATTACTGATCTTGCTGGATTTTATTCTGCTTTACTTCCATAAATTGCAGGATCTTTACTTTATCTTTGCCAGAAGATTTAAACTTTAAAAGCCTTGCCCTCATAATTTGCAAGTTAATTTATTTATAAAGAAAATATAAACGCTGCTTAAGCTAATTCAAATGAAATTAAAAGTAAAATAAGCAGCCAACCTTATCACTGTCTGTAACCTACTAACACGGTAAGGAAAGCATCAGATGAGCTACCTGAGAAACTGTACGCTTCGCCTTTAAAACGAAACAAACATGGTCGCTCACCCTGCTGATGAGCTCTCTTCACTGCCATTGAAGGCTCCAACGTGTTTCCTTCTCAGGTGCTGCATCATAACAGTGGTGCTTCTGTGCCATGTTAATTTGTTTTTACAAAAGTTGCATGTTACGACTTTTTTCACTTTACAAAGCGCAGGCTGTCTGCGAATTGAGACGCAGCTTGCGTTTGCGGTATCGGTCATTAGAAGAGTTGACGTTACTGCCTTTTGAAAACAGCCTTTGCTCACCTGCAGAGCTGGCTCGCTCTGCCGTATTTTTTTTTCTTCCCGCGTTTCAAACAAGTGGCAATGTTGACGACGGCGGCGGATGATGCATTAATCGCGCAACACAACTAATCGATGATGAAATTCGTTGCCAACGCTTTTAAAAGTCAATTTTTATCGATTTTATCGATTTGTTGTTGCAGCCCTAAACCGAACCACCTTGTAAAAATTCCAATAAATGATTCCTCACCTGCATGTTACCCCTCAAGTCTGCCGCTTCTCTCAAAAGTGGAGCAGCCATCTTGAAGACTTCATCGACAGTCCGAACTCCTAAGTCCCTCAGAGCCGTATACTCTCTCCCTTTTCGAGTCTTTCGTACAGAGATGCCTCTTTTGTGAGGTTTTCCGCCTCCTCTCCGGTTTGTGAGGGCCACGTGCACAAACAGCTTGGCGTGTGGAAGGTCCTCCCCTGTGAGGGACTGAAGGGGCACATGTCTGTAGCCTGGTTGGAGGCACTCCAGTGGTATGGTATACTGTCCTGCAGGAGTTGAGAACTTCTTAAATTAGAAAATAAAGCAAAACTTGATTTGAAATGTTGCTTTGTTTTTATTTTTCAATGTTTTGAACATGTGGTATTGACATCTGCACAGAAAGATTCCCCAGGGTACTACACAGGAAACGCATATTTTCATATCATAGATGATGCCTCATGTCCTGCTTTATGTGCACCACATGCCATGCAGAGAGCACAAAACAAACTCCTTACATTTCCAATGCTGAGATCAAAGCTCCCGCAGAATATCTTTAGGTGTGACGTATGGGTATAAACAACTACCATATTCAAGCCTTTGTTTATGCATAAACCTAACATACTGACCTATGAATTCATCCCCAATGAAGTCATCGTCCAGCACCACAAATCGAACCATGGCGAGCTCAGGCAAGTTGATTTGGAACTCAAAGCTCTCATCAAATACTGGGTTGTCCCCGTTCTGTGTCACCGTCCTGGTGCGGCGCTCTGTGCAGTCAGCTGGGATGCCATGGATCTCCACATACACATAAGGGTCTACAACATCCCCTTTGGCCCCAGAGCCTTTTGGTTTTGGAAGATTCTGGCCACTGATGACCTGGGGAAAAATAAAATCTGTTACCTAAAACTCATCATTTCAAATTATACAGAACTTATCAGTTACCTTATGAGACCAGGCTCTATTTGTAACCTGATTAATTTACTTGAAAGAGGTTAATATCTGAAATTGTGGGTTATAATAAATTAATTAGAGAACATCTATTGGAACTTACATTTTATTTTTGGGCAGCAGGCTGTAATATGAGGTTAATCATAACCTGGTACATTCTGGGACCAATTTCTTTCTTTCCAAATGTTCAGAATGCATCCCATACTATTTTTGGAAATGTGCCAATTGGGTAATATTATGAGTTGAATAGCAATCTTGTCCTTTCCTAAACCTAAAGGTTTAGTTATAGAGAACTTAAAGGTATAGTGGAGGATGTTCTTTTCCCAGGTGGATCATCATAACAGGTGTTCCTCCTAATTGTTAATTTTAATGTGACATGTTTCTGTGCATGCGCCCTTTCAGGCATATATGTATGGTGATCTATGGTTTCAGACAGCCACTAAAGCTTGCGTTCCTCTTTGAAAAAGGCAGAGGGTTGTAAGAGAAAAAGTGTCTACGAAGTGTATGAGAAGAAGAGAAAGGCCTCAGAAGAGAGAAACAAGACCAGAGTTTTTTTGGGAGTTTCTTTCACACGATGGCGTACACTGAAAGCACAGGTCGAGCTTCCCACTGATGCCTCGGTTGCAAAGTTTCTACTGGACAGGTAAGTTTGGCATTCTATTTCAAGAAATCCATTTCACATCACTGCAAGTAAAACAAGGAGAAATGGGCTTGTGCATGCTACACACACGTTTAATAGACATTCCCTATGGGAATGTCTATTAAACACTATGGGGTTTTGGATAGGGCTGTGTTAGGAGCTGAGCTGATATCGGCTACTTTCTGAAACTTTAGGGTTACTTTTCCTAAACTAATAGATTTAATTAAGAAATGGGTCTGATTATGATTGTTAATCTAGTACCTTCTAAAAATTTAGGGCTAGTTTCAAGAACTCAGTTTACTTTGGCCTTATTGGTGATGTAATTTGGATGCTTGTACTTTACAAAATAAACCAACAGACATAACTTACAGCTTACTTAATGTATCACATTAACTTAAGTTTAGAGATCAGAGCAAATGCATTTAAGGGAGCAGTTTCCAGAACTTTGAGACTACTTTCTTAAAATCACTGATGTGCAAAGGCATAATTAACATACGGTAACAAAAAATTCCAGGAAAATATCCAGCAAGTTCTATGAAAGTTTCAGAAAAGTAATCGGCACAAAGTCTGCTCTTATTTTAAAAAAACACATCAAATCTCTAAACTCAACAATGTCATGAGCAATCAAATCTTAGTTCTTATTTTTTTCATGTTTCAGGATATTTTAATATATTGTTATTAAAGTCATTGCAACATTAAGAAACTGGATGACAGAATGTCATCAAGGAAAGCATACAATGAGAATTTTATGAAATATGCTCTACCTTTACATGTAGCAGCTGTGGAGTCACACCAGGTACTGTGTCTTTGGTGTCGGCACTGAAATAAGATACTTCCTGCCGCATGATAGCTGGACGCAGCACATAACCGCAGCTCCCATTCTGCCGGAACCAGGCCGTGTTCAGGTCCATCATCAGTCCTGCTGTCTGAAAGTTCATTGATACAATCTGACAGCCGCACTTCCACAAGTCCTGGGGATTCATATTGCTTGAGTCAATGCGCATAGGTTTGGGGTAAACTCGTGATAAGAAATGTTTGTTGTGGTTGACAAAGTCTCCAGGGCTGTCGCCAGCAAGACGCAACGCCAGGGATTCATGAAAGGAGCACAATTCCCAAGGTTTTTGAGTTTTAGATGAGGTTTTAAAGTCTTTGAAGCTAACAGAATGACATAGAGTTACCAGGTCTGACAGCTCTCTCAACAGCTGGAAGCGTTTAGGGGAAGGATGAGGCGTGTTAGACTGAGAGGAAGATGTTAGAGAGATACTTTTCTGCACAACATCCTTCTCAGTTCCACCAGCATTTACTGTTTTTATCCTTTGACTCATTTCTGCTCCTTCATCTTCCTCACTTACCTCCCCATCCTCTCCGCCTAAATTGGTGGGCTCAAGCTTTTTACCTTTCAGTAGGATTCGATGTCTTAATGCCAGCGGTGAAGGTAGGTACATAGCCCCTTCATCGGGTGGGTCCCTATAAAGTCTATCCCCCAAGATCTTTGTGAGATGTTGCAACAAAACTTTCTGTTGTTGCAGCGAACAGTGGTTTTCAATACAGAGTATTAACGGGTAGTCCGATGCCACAAATGCAAACCTTCCAATCGCTTCCAACACAGAATTTAGGGCCAGAGGACGGGACAGGCTGTGTCCTGTGCACACCACTGGCTCGCCATCAGGGCCATCCCAAACATCCACTTCCACGCATCGACAGCCCATCTTTAGGGCACGAATATAGCCAGACACATCTGAGGGACCTCGAAACTGGTCCTCAATGAGGTAGGTGTTATGGGACGAGTTGATGTAGTAGTGAGACAAAGGCTGGGACATGTCTTGACAGATGGTATTATGCTCCCGGTCAAACAGATGGCACTCAGAGGAAGTGAGGTAGCTGGTGAAGCCATCCAATGACATGTGTCCCTGCTGTCGCCCCTCCGCTGATGGTTCATGGGTCTGGATGAGTTTTAGACTCATTTCCTCACTCACCTAAAGGAAAAATCGAGAGAAGACTGAGAAATACATGGAGAAATTAGACAGACTATAACTACCATAAGACAGAAGGAGAAAATGTTTTAGACCAATAACTATTCCTCCAAGCAGCACTAGCTCAACCAAACAGCGCCTTTGACTTGTTTTCTGAATCTAAGCATTATTTTATATTACCCACTTGTGCCACACCCTGTTCGGCTTCAATAAACTTCATCAAGTCTTTTGCGTCAAGGTATTCTTTGTTGCTGGAGAACTGCACCAACAGGAAGTAGATCTCTGGACGGGTGCAGAAGTCATGGAAGACCTCAATGAACTCTTGCTTGGTTACTTGCTCTTTTTTCTCTGATGGCTTTTCATTTCCAGTGTGGTCTTTAAATCCTGATTCATTACACATCTTCTCCCTGAGTCTCTGGATCTCTTTAAACCTGTTCTCCACTTTTACGCTGCTCACTCCAGGATTCACACTTTGTACCAAGTTAATGGCCGACTGCAACAGAATCCGTTCCTCAGCGCCGTCCTGTTTATTTAGATCAGCGGCAGAAGAGAACAACTGCTCCAGCCACCGAAGGCGAAGGCTGTCCTGACTGTTGGCAAGTGTATCGAGCGCCTGTTTGCCATACTGCATGAGGTACCTAGAAGTGGAAAAAAAAAAAGAGGGGCTCTGATTTTGCAACAAGACATGTCACTTTGGTTTAATGCAGGAAAAAAAATCCTGATATTCTTAGATAAGTTGGCTGAGAATTTGCTCAAATATCAGTCGCCTTTAAAAACAGGCAGAAGTCAGAGAAAGAGACTAATCAAAAAAGGTCTCTTCTGTAACCCTCTGGAAAAAGCAGCTCTGTGTCAAATGAACTGTTATTTAAGACAACAGTATACATGAGCTCCATCTGGAGAAAAATAACCCCTGACCATCATGATGCCACCACCATATTTAATTGTGGATGTGATGTTCTTCTGACCATGTTTAGTGGTGTTTACAGTATGTGTCAAACTTGCCCACTGAAATTGTGTTATGAAGAATATTCAGCACATTAAATGGTTGAATAGGTTCTAAAATTACCTTTGTCTAATTTTTTACATATATTTGAACAGAAATGTTTAAATTCACTATACAGTATGTCTGAAAAAACATTGATGTTTGAATAATCTGCTTATTGATGCAATACAACTTGGTAAGAGCAAAAAAAAAAAAAAAACAGCACTACTTTTCTAGTTGTGTGTTTTGTTTTTTTCTGTACCTCAGTCCAGTAACCCAAATGTTTGCCACTTCAGCAGAGTTAGCCACCAGGTCCAAGCTCTCATACAACTCTCCATAGATGATGGAAAATGCACAGTCCTCCGAAACCTGCTCATAAACTCCACTGGTGCGGAAGGTTTCCGTGTTACGGCCAATCCGGACCTAGAATTTGTGATGCACAAAAGCCCGCGTCAGATGCCACATAAAGCAAAATAACTGCTCCCCTCCGTATGTTTGAAGGTTGTAAATTTCTCTAAAGCTTCGCTTGAAGAAAGGTCATTTATAGAGGGGAAGCCAGGGCCGGCTGATTGATGCTGCATTTGTTGTTGCTCAAACCCACCTCACGTATAGAGTTGAGATAGATCCGAGCTTTGTCCGATTCTTTCTTGGACGGTTCCCAGAACAGAGCCTGCAGGCCTGCATCCAAGAGGTAGTATCGCTGATAAACACGGGAGTTGGGGCGGATCTTTTTCAGCTCACTGCCTTCAACCTGCAAAGAAAAAAAAAAAGGAAAGTATCTGTCACTCACAGAGCTCCAAAACACAGCAACAAGCTCTCTTGGGTGTTAGAACAACTACACATTGATGCATGTGTCAAACCGTAAATATTTAATGTACATCATGTAAGTGTTATTCTGCAAAAGGTCAGACAGTTGCAGACGCACCATGGAGTGGATACACCCGGCAGCGCTGCTGATCTTCTTCTCTGACAGGCTGCTGCTGAAGGACACAGTCTTCTTTTTCTCACGACCGGCACGTGAGCCATCCTGAAGAGGAAGAGAAAAGACCAGACGAACTGAATGGGGGTGATAAGTAACAGAGACAGCATCTATGAAGACCATTCCTTGCCTATTTATGACATTTTCAACCCCACAATGGACTTCAAGGGATTAAAAACGATGATCTTATATAAGCATACAGATTATTTGGCTTGTGCTGATCTGTAGTTGTTTTTTTTTTTCTAAATCCACACTAAAAGCCTTTGTTTGCCCTTGCCCTTCAACTCTACTCCATTAATCATACCTGACTAGACGGAGGCAGCAGGCCACAGCATTCTAATTTTTCCCTCTTCAGTGACGCCGGCGAGCTCAATCTGTTTATCCAAGCACACCACCACTGCTCCTCCTACTGATTTATCGGCTTATTAGAAGTCGCCCACATGAACAGCCTTGTTCGGATGAGACAATATACTTAACGGGCAAAAAATTATTTGATTTTTGATAAATTTATCCAAACGTAATCAAATCAAAACTCTTAGCAATATTTAAGGTTGGATTAATAGGTAAATGTAATTACATCTGGAGGCATTAAAAAAAACGCCCACATGCTAAAGCAGATAGACATAGTGCCACAACTAAAGCAAAGCTCATCACTGGACCAGTTAGGTTGACTTTAGCTTCTCAATGGACCACAGTGTTCCCAAAATTACAGGATTGTGTTTTTTTTTATTTACAGAGAGACTCATTGCGACTCAATTACATACATGTCTATAGCCAAACTCAGACATTTACACTCACCTTAAGTGAGACAGCAGTTTTCTTGTTTCCTAGGTTAGTTATGACTATGAACCTATGTATTCTCAGTCATCTGAGTCATGGCAATGATAACATGCTTAGAGGGTAAAAGGACCTTTGAAGAGTTTTTCTTACAGGTCTTCCAACGCATATCCAGAACCCTTTGTCAATTCTAGGGGATTGCAGCTGAACATGCTGGAGTTTTGGAAGTGTCATTTGGTGCTCAACATCTGCTTTAAATGCTTTTTTCAAAGCAGCTTTTAACACTCAAGGTGGCTAAACTGCAAGCCAACAGAATCAACAAAGAATCCTGGATAGGTTTACCAAATGATTTAAGTCTCCTATTGCTTATGGATTAATGATTTCTTCCTCCTCATGGGACATATGAGCTGATATTGAGATAGAACTAATTTCACTGTGGATAACGATAGCAGCCTGTCATCCTCTGCCAAGTTCACCCCGAAAATCTTTTCCATTCTATCGGTTGGTTTACACTAGGACTGAAACAATTGATCGGATTAATCATGATTAATTGATTATTGAAATAATCATCAAATAATTTATAAATATAAAATATAAGCTGACAGAGCAACCCACTTAGAGCAGTAATTATGCTCTATCCAGAACTCCTCAAGTGAAAATGTATTAGTTTCACCTGGTTTAATTTCGTGAAAAGTCGTCTTTAAGGAACCTTTGGCTATCCAATTATTAATTGATTTATCGAAAAAATAATCAACAGATTAATCGATTTGTAAAATAACAGTTAGTCGCAGCCCTAGTTTAAACATTACACACCAGAACAAATGTATCTACGGGAAACAGAAATGGTCTCCTTTGTAAAAAGTAGAAAGACTAGTCATTTACATGCTGCTAGAATACAGAATGTCTTTTGAAGTGTGTAACGAAACTTACATTATGTTGTGCGTATAACACCTAGCAAGACAGTGGGCTTTATTTATTTATTTTTTAATCTTTTATTCCTTTTGTCTTTTGCCCAATTTTATTGGTTTGATTAAATTATTTTTATCCATGTTTTAGCCGCTTTGTTTTTTTTATCTGTACTGTTTTATGCATTTATTTTTTTTTTTTCTGTACAGCACTTTGGTCAGCTGTGGGTTGTTTTTAAGTGCTCAACAAATAAAATTGGATTGGATATAACTGTGAATTCCCAAAAAAGTAGAGAGAGTTAACAGTATTTTTTTAAACTCCCTCGCAAGGTCAACTTCTTCTAGCTCCAGATGTCCTCAACATTATAATCACTGCACTGAGGGTGGATATGTAAGGCCATAGCAATTGTCTTATAGCCAATTCCTGATGGATAAAGATAAACATGGATCTGTCCTTTATGGCATGCCTTTTTGTTATTCCCCTTTCGGAGAGTGACCAAAAGAAATGGTCCTATTTATTTTCTAATAATTCTATACCACAAAAATAGACATTTTCAAGGAATTTTAGGTGTGCAAAATAGTGTTAAAAAGGAAAATTTAAAAGGAAGATTTCTGTTTTTGTTAAACTGATTGATTATTCCACTTTTAAGAACATATCTTTCCAAAGTAGAACAAATAATTTTTGGAGTGAACATCTGTGGACACTCAATAATACCCTATCATCATCGTAACTCGGCTTTTATTAAAATAATGCCTCACATTAACTTCAAGAGCACTTGTGCCTTTCATGTAAAAAAGACACGAAAAGAGCTGTTAACATGAAAGAAACATGAGGGATGCAATAGATGCCAGATTAGAAGTGGGGGAAGGATCATAGCCCCGTTTCATGTGAAGAACATGAGTTAAGATGAAAAGGAAGAGAAGCTCCCTCAGACGGAGGGAGGAGCAGCTCAGCATCACTCATTTTTAGAGAATCAAGAGATGGAAACAGACTGAGCAGGAGAACCCCCCTCTGTCTCCAATTTAATTGCAGAATATTTAAAGAAAAGTACAATTTCAGTCACGTTTCACTGATTTAAACCACAGCAAGCCCCACATTATCACTTCACCAATATGAAACCTTGGCTTTTAGAAGAGTTGATGAATCTTCTGCTCGTTCAAAGATCATTCGGTATCGCCTTTGAATCCTGTCCAATTTCAGCTCCGATGACTAAAGGAGAAAATCTATAACTCAAAGTGAAGATGGGAAAAGCTAATCAATGCCTCTGTTCTGAAATTAGCCCCATTACATTTTCAGTATTTTCTATTTAAATGAAAATCCCAGACTTTAAATGTTTTTGTATGGGTCCACCCATCCATCACACGTTCCTTTTCCAGTTCTCCATTTGGCTGGCAAAAAAGAGATTAAGGTCAGCTTCAATCCATGGTTCATCTTCATTCGTTTGTGAGAAAATGATCAATAATTGCACCTCTGAGGCTCTTTTAAACCTCATAACTAAGCATTTATGACCTAATAGAAACACACTAAACAATTTCCTCTTCTGTTTTTTTTTACGGTTTGACAATACAGTTACACACCATCCTACATCAATAAGTAATAGGACACATCCTGAAGAGGTACGGATTCTAAACAAGCTCCCGAGCTTGGCAGTAGATAGCCCACGAAACGGAGGCTTTAAAAAGCAACTATTTCAAAACCACAGTAATTCACCATCAAGTTATTCCTACTTTCTAAAGTCACATCAACGAGGAAGAGTGTCAGTTTGTGGTTCAGGGCTGCCCCACCCAACCTACTGCTGGCTACTCCAGGCCAGCAGTTCAAAAGAAAGCTGAAAAATCTAACTGGATATAAAGACAAATAAAAAAATAACTGAAATATTAGCTGTAATACATAAAAAAAAAAAAAAAAAAAAAAACATGGACACTAATGGAAGGCAAGAAAATAAAAACAATTAGATTAATGTTATGGTACTTGTAGAGCAGATTATTATAGGATAAAAATCTCACACCTGTCGTGGCCAAGATTGAGCTTGTCACAGTTCTGGTTCTGTTATGTTTTCTTTTGAGTTTTCAGTTTTACTTTGCTCCATGTTTTCTAGTTTTAGTGGTTTAATTCTTTTTTTTTTTGTGTTCTCTGGTTATTTTTCAGTTTTCAGGTTTTTATTTGTTGCACTCTGCTGTCCTCTTGTGTTCTCCTCTTTCTCTAGCTCTTTTCCTGTCTGCTCTGTCCACACCTGCTCCCAATCTGCTCGTTAGTCCTCTATTTGTTTCAGTCTCCCATAAATATACTCCTTATGCAGTTCCTCAGTGCTGGTTCCTCGTCAAACTTCCTCGAACTCTGTCTCTCTGAGTCTTCCTCCTCGTGATAGTCTTGTCCCGTGATGTCTCCATGTTTTCTGGTTGGTTTAACTTTTTCTTGTTGTATTTATTTTTGGATTTTTGGATACCTGCCTCACTTGTTTGAAAACACTTAATTAAATCATCAAGAAACCCAACTCTGCCTCCCTGCCTCTGCATTTGGGTCCACAAACCTCAACCAAATCCTGACAGTGCTTAGCAACAGAATACGATGGAAACAACAAAGAAACCCAAGCTGAAATCACACAGGACTTTCCACAGCACTCTTAGGGTTAGCAATAAGCGAAATGCACTCTGGAATTTAATTATACACTCAACAAACATTCTGTTAGTACATATAAATTCATAATGAATGCCATCTCAAGCACTCCACAACACAAACTGGTCCACATGCATTCATATATAATGAAATAAAACACATTCAAATTCAACTAAACTGATCCAATTATGTGATTAGGTATAATATGGTGTAATCTAGAGCAATTCAAAGTCAAAGTCATAATGGCATTGGTATCGGCGAGTACCAACAAATAATACAATTTTGAGAGTCAAAAGTTTATTCAACTATTGTCACCCATTCCAGGTCGGCAATAAAAGGTTCTACTGGATTCACTTTGTATTAGTCTTTTTCCTGCTTCACAAAAGTAGGAGCAGCTTGACAAAGCCATGATGGCAATTATTTTACATCCAAGTAGTATGCAGTTCTTCATATATACACACACACACACACACACACACACACACACACACACACACACACACACATATCAATTTAAACAGATGGTATCAGTATTAACCGATAATGCACAACCAGGTATCGGGGCCAAAAAATGGCATCAGGGCAACACTACTTACAACCTCAAGGTTCATAGACCCTAAACACTAGGCCGCCACTCCCCCAAGCCTGAGACCATATCTTTGTAAGAGAGTGAGCAAAGTTAAAATGCAAACTTCTATGAATTTAAAAGGATCAAATTACTTAAAAAAAAAAAAAAACTATGAATAACA